TCCCCACAAGAGATTAGTGCAGAAGCTGGAGGATCAGGCGCACGTAAAAGGGAGGGCACTGCAATGGATAAGGGAATACCTGACAGGGAGGCAGCAACGAGTCATGGTACGTGAAGAGGTATCACAGTGGGTGCCTGTTACGAGCGGAGTCCCACAGGGGTCAGTTCTAGGACCAGTGCTATTTTTGATATATGTGAACGACATGATGGAAGGAATAGACTCTGAAGTGTCCTGTTCGCAGATGACGTGAAGTTGATGAGAAGAATTAAATCGGACGAGGATGAGGCAGGACTGCAAAGAGACCTGGACGGGCTGGACATGTGGCCCAGCAACTGGCTTCTCGAATTCAATCCAGGCAAATGCAAAGTCATGAAGATTGGGGAGGGGCAAAGAAGACCGCAGACAGAGTATAGGCTAGGTGGACAAAGACTACAGACCTCACTCAGGGAGAAAGACCTTGGGGTGACCATAACACCGAGCACATCACGGAGGCACACATCAACCAAATAACCGCTGCGCCATATGGGCGCCTGGCAAACCTGAGAATAGCGTTCCGATACCTTAATAAGGAATCGTTCAAGACACTGTACACTGTGTATGTTAGGCCCATACTGGAGTATGCAGCACCAGTCTGGAACCCACCCCTGGTCAAGCACGTCAAGAAGTTAGAGAAAGTACAAAGGTTTGCAACAAGGCTAGTCCCAGAGCTCAAGGGAATGTCGTACGAGGAAAGGTTAAGGGAAATCGCACTGACGACACTGGAGGACAGAAGGGTCAGGGGGGGACATGATAATGACATACAAGTTTAACTGCGGGGAATAGACAAGGTGGACAGAGATAGGATGTTCCAGAGAGGGGACACAGGGACAAGGGGTCACAACTGGAAGCTAAAAGACTCAGACGAGTCACAGGGACGTTAGGAAGTATTTCTTCAGTCATAGAGTTGTCAGCAAGTGGAATAGCCTAGCAAGTGAAGTAGTGGAGGCAGGAACCATACATAGTTTTAAGAAGAGGTATGACAAAGCTCAGGAAGCAGAGGGGAGGGACCCAGTAGCGATCAGTGAAGAGGCGGGGCCAGGAGCTGAGTCTCGACCCCTGCAACCACAATTAGGTGAGTACACACAGGGGAAATGGAAGGCAATCAGGATAAAACAAAAATGGGTTGCCAGAGAGCAACAAGAAAAACCAAGGGACAGGAGGAGGAAACTGCAAAGGAAGATTGGGCAGCAGAGCTCACAAAAAGGGAACATGAATGGGAAAAGAAACTAGAAGAACTTAGCATGAGAATGGAAGAGAGGATAGACATGGAAAGCAGGAAGTGGGAGGTGCAAGTCAAAGCAGCAGAGGCCAGGATACAGAGTTTAGAAGAGGAACTGAAAAATCTGAAACAGTCTAAAGAACTAAAGAACATTTTGGGATTGACAACAGAGACTGCTACCCCAGTCACAAATAAGGGGACTGTAGGAAAGAAGGAGCAAAAAAAGCATGTAGAAGCTCAATCAGTGGAGAATGTAGTAAATGAAAGACCTAAGCTATATGTGGAGGCCTAACAGACCACAGCAGAGCCCAGGGAAAGCCGAGAAGGGAAAATGATAGGCCACTGAGCCCAAGTACATTAGCTAGTGAAACTGAAGAAAGGAAAGCTGCAATGGAGGAAATCAAATTGAATGAGAGGATACACAGGGATATGCAGTGGGAGAATGAAAAGGGTGAGGTCAGTCTTTGTGTATGGGCTCCCGGAAGTTGAAGGGGAAACATATGAAGCAAGAAAACAAGGGGAAAAAAAAAGCAATTGAAAGAATCATGAAAGCAATAGGAGAAGACGACATGACCCAGCTGGAAATTTTCGGGGGAATAGGGGGGTATGTAAAAAAAGAACCCGGCCAGTGAAAGTGACCTTCAAGGCAGAATCGACTCGGAACAGAATCCTGCAGGAGAAAGCACGATTAAGGGACATGCCGGCATACAGGAAGGTGTATTTCGACCGCGACAGAACACAAGCAGAAAGGCAGAAACAGAGAGAGATGGTACAAAGGCGAAAGGAGGAAAGAGGGGGGATGGAGAAGACAGACAGGAGATCCCAGACACAGGAGATCAAATGCAGCCCCTCAAAAACTTCCTATAGAAGCCTCCCAACCAGGTAAAACCCCAGTGAAACCCAAAAACCTCAAAACCCCAAAACACCCATGCCCATCCAATGCCCCCACCCCCCTGCCTTAAAAACCTCCCCCCCCAACAGCAACCACCCATATTTTCCTTATCGGGTTTCCCCCATTTCCCCAAACCCCAATACACCCCCCAGCCCCCAATCTTAGAAAAAAAGTTAAAGGTGTGGATAAAAGCAGAGGGGAATAAACCAAATAAGATGGGAGTGGCACAAAGAATAAAGGGGAGACTCCCCAGACATAATACCACTCATAGAAAAAAAAATCACCAGAATAATAACGGGATTCAATTTTTTCCAAACCCGGATATCAAATCCTCAGGAAAGACGAGGGGGGAGGGGGGGGGAGGAGGAGTTGCCTGCTCTTTAAAAAAACCAGTGGGGGTTTGAAAAAAGGGAAAGGAAAATGGATGGCAGGGGCAAAGGGGAACCTACTTAGTGGGAAAACAACCCAGTCTGGGGGAAAATAAGGTGATAATTGCAGTAAGTAAAACCCCACCACGGAACGGGAAGGGGCCCAAAGAAAAGAATACGTTTGAGAGAAAAGAGGAAGGGTCGATACACTACCGGGGGTGGCCAGGGGGAGCAAACGGGGGGGAGAAAAGTTACTATTTATGGGTGTTTTCCCAATACAAGGAGATTAAATGGGAAAACCTGGAGCCCCATGGGGGGTCCCGAAACTTGGGGGAACCAAGATATGGATGGGGGTACGGGAAAAACCTCATGCTAAAACATTTTTAGAGACACTACCAGGGGAGAGAGGAGGGGAATAAACCAGAAAGGGATGGCCTTGTATTCCCTTTGTGTAGTTTGACATCGGGGGAAATTTCATGTATAAAAAGGCCCCCTGGGAGCTAGTGATCATGTGGTTCTTTTTGCTTTTCCCGGGAAAACCCTTCAAAAAAAAAAAGGGGTTGGGGCAAACCCCAAGTTGGGGGGGAAAAGCGGGAAAAAATAAAAAATTCAGGGTGGGAAAAACCCAAAAACAAAAAAAAACAAAAAAAAGGGGGGGGTTATTTAGGTTGGGAAAAATTTCAGAAAGGGGAAGGAGAACTCGGAAAAATAAAAAATTTAGGAAGGCCCAACAAAGAAGGACAGAAGGGGGTTTTTGGTTCCCGGGGAAAAAAAAAAATAATGGAAAGAAAGAAACGACCCGGGTTTCACCCAAATTAGGAGGAAAAACTAGGGGGTTGACTGGGGGAAAATGGGGGGGGAATTCAAAAAGCCCGGGGGAGAACTCATAAAAAATTTTAAAAAAGTTTTTAAGGGAAAAAAGGGGCCCGGGAAAAAAAAAGTTAGGGGTAAAAGGGGGCCAGAAAGGGCTGGAAAAGGGCCCATAAACCCAAAGGGGGATAAAGAAGCTGTTGCGAACTTGGAAAACCGTAAGGCCGGTAACCAGAAACACCTAGGGGGTTTTTTAAAAAAAGGGGGGATGTGGGTAAAAAATTTAAGAAGTTTTTAAAATTTGGAAAACCCGGGAACCCCCAAAAAATGGAAAAGGGGCCAAAAAGGTGCTAATTTTTAAAAAAGGGGGGGAGAAGAAGGGGCACAAATTTGACCACCTAAAGGGGTTAAAAAAAATCTTTCCCCCGGGGGGGTTTTAAATGGGGGAAAAGGGCCCAAAATTTTGCCTTTAAAAATTTCCCAAACCTTTTATTTAAATTTAAAGCCCTTTTTTTAAAATTAAATTATTTTTTTTAAAAAAAACCATGGGGACAAAACCTACAACCTTTTTCCAAAACTTTTAAAAATAATCAATTTATTTGGTTAATTAAAAAGTCCTTTGCCATTTTTTTAAACCATTTTTAAATAAATTGGGGCCCCCTTTTTTTTAAAATTTTAAACTATTTAAAACTTTTTTTTATTATTTAAATTTCAAATAAAATTCCCAACAAATTAATGTTTAAAGATTGCCCCTTACCAATTTTATTTTAAATAATTAATGTTTTTTTCAAATTTTTTTACGGTTTTTATTTAATTCAAAACTAAAGGATTTCATTCCAACAAAACAAACTTTTTTTTTATCCCAATTTTTTTAAGATTTTTAAAGAAAAAACATTACGATAACTCAAGAAAAAAACAAAATTTCCTTTTCCATGCCAACCATCTTTTTTAACTAAAACTTTGAAAAAAAAAAAAAAAAAAAAAATAAAAAAAACCCCCGGCTAAAGCCTGATAGTACAGTTTGTCTAGGGCCTTTCCGGGTTTACACACCCCATACACAATGTGGGCCCAGACCAAAAAAGGGGGTGGACAGCCATTTTCTCTCAGCCAACTAGAATTTACCCCTTTAAAAATTGCACAAGGGATGAACAGGGGGGAATAAAATAGCTAAATTAAAACCCCAAATTCCCAAAAAAAACCCTCTCACATTGATAAACATTTACAGAGTTCCACATTTAAAAACATTACCCAATTTAGTCAAAATCTGGGAAAAAAAGGTATGAAATTTGATGCCGCATGAACAAAATCATTATTTCTCTCAGGTGATTCTTTATAAATTCCTGCAAAAACCAGGCCCCACACGTTATAAATTTTACAAAAAAGGGTTTAAACTGTATGTTACTACCAACATTTAAAAAAAACCTACAAGATTTTCAGAGATAGTTTTTCCCTTTACTTGACCACATCTGGACCAACACCATTCCCCCTTTAAAAACAGGGATTTAAATTTAAAAATAATTTCCCCCAAAACCCCTACCCTACTTTCCCCATAAAAAACTCTGGTAAAATTCCCCCAAAACACTACTTAAAATCACCCTTTAGACTTTAAAAAAGGCAGCCATTTAAAAACTTCGCAACAGCATTAGCAAAAAATTTTAAATTTGGCCCCCACTGAGCTGAAAAAATAAACAGATAATTTACGAATGTTTAATAATTTTTAAAAAAGACCCAATTTCCTCTATAAAAAGCACTGGCCCCAAAAAAAAAAACAGAGGGGCAGCAAAGAGACTGAACAGTCCCTGGCTAACACCCAGCATTTCAAATCCCCTAAAATTTCCCAAAAAAACCAATATGAAAAAAAAGTACGAATGGGGCACAAACCCGAGAACCCAAACCAAAAACGTTACTCGTCAATCCTAACCAGCCCGATAAAAAGGGGGAAAAAAAATTTTATTTTTGGGAAAAGATTATCCCAAATTCAGGGGGGGTATAAAAAAGGGCCCGGAAAAAAACATCTGAAATTTTTGGGTAAAAAAAAAAGGGTATCCGAAAAAAGCGAAAAAAAATTAGCAAAATCAGATTGAAAACAACCCCACCAACGGGAAAAAGCAAACCGGGTTTAAATGTTTCTTCCCCCTTTTAAAGGGCAAAAACCTTTCCTTTAAAAACCCAAACCAGATACCCCCCAAATAAATCCCTCAGGCAATAACCCGGGGAAAAATGTTTAAATTGGTTTCCCCTTGAGGTTTTTTATTAATTGGGGTTTTAAAAAAAAGGGGGGTTTTTTAAGGGGGGTTAAATTTATATTAAAAAGGACCAAGTGGTATCTTAATCATTTTCAACCCCCCTTTTAAAAATTCCTTTGAATCCCCTCCCCTTCCCTACCGATCAAAATTTTGAAGGGGCACCCCCCAAAAGGGGGAAAACCCCCCCCCCCCCCCCAAAATTAAAAAACCATAGGGCCCAAAATCCCAAATTTTAAACCCCCTCTCAAAAAAACTTTTTAAAAACCCAATTACAAACGGAAAACTACTCCTACCTTATCTCCCAAAAAAAAAAACCCCAACCCCCGCCAATTTGGATTCGGCCTAATTAAAAAAAACTAATGGGTGCTATTTTTACACATGCTTAGAAATATTACACTGCAAAAGAAAAAAAAAAAAGTCCCCCTGGGGATCTTCATTGACTTACGTAAAGCTTTTTTATACAGTTGAACCCTGGGTTGCTCCAGTTTTTTAAAATTTTCACATATGGTATAAAGGGCCAAATCCCTCTTACCTTTAAGTCATACCCCCCAAAAACAAAGAAGGGCCAAAATGTGTACGGGAAATGGGGGCAAAAATCTTTTGCGCAAACCCAAATTTCAGTTGGTGTCCACAAGGGGAAATGTCCTTGGCCTCTTTTTCTTTTCCTATCCCTAAAAAGACCTTCCCAAAAGCTTGGGAATTACTCAAACCCAAAATATTTGCAGATGACAAAAACATACGTCTTCTCTCACCCGAGCCCAGTCACTTAAAAACCAAAATTTCTGTAAATACCCAAATTTTCAGAAAAATTCCTGGATGAGGACTAAAAAACTTCATAACATTGACAAAACCTACTTCATTTAGTTTGGTAAAAAGAGGGTACAGATGTCCCTCTTTAACCCTAATGAAAAGGATCACCTTCACAAAGCTAAAAGAGGGAAAATTCTTAGGGGAATTTCCCCCTTGATATAGACTCAAAATTTTATCCATATACAACAAATTTTTTAAGAAAATTTTCCCAAAACTGTAGGCTTTCTATCGAAGATACGGTACTATGTTCCACAGTCGCCCCCTGGCCCTATAAACCTCTCTTTTTTACCCCTATCTCCCCCTATGGGTTTTGTGCATGGGGCCCCAACAACGTTAACCCTCTCAGGGCCCTAATTTCCCAACAAAAAAGGCCCGCAGTTAGAATGATAAAAAATTTTCACTACAGGCAGCACACTCCCCAATTTTTCAATACACTAAACCCTATCACCATACAAAACATCCATACTTATTACTGCCCCTATTACATACATAAAACACTTAATCTGATATTAACCCCCCCCTCAAACTTTCCCTTTGCCAACCTCAACAGAACACATGACCATAACACAAGGCACAGATCACTCTTTGATGTTCCTCGTGTTCATCTCACACTATGCAAAACTCAATGCACATAAAAGGCCTAAATCTGGAATTCATTACCTTTTAAATATAAAAGAAACACTACCTGTTTATAAATTCAAGTCTCTACTCAAAGATCACTTACTCCCCCAAAACCAAATAAATACTGAATAACTGAACCTTATAAATTGTATATCTTAAATGTTTCTCACAATTATATCACATAAATGTTAAACCTAAACCCAATCTAACTTATTATTTTTTAAATACACTACCTAACAGAATCCTTCATATGACCTGTCTTTGTAATACTCACTTGTGCTTTATAGAAATCTGTTTACATTAATGTTTTATCACTGACTTCATCATTGCTTAGTTAATCTTAAGTTAATTTTAACCCAGCCCGTAATGCTATGCATAGTATAAGTGGCTTTGGCATACTGCTCTTATCTGTATTTTTTTGTACCTCTGTATGTGTGCACAAATTTATAATAAATAAATAAATAAATAAATGCAAGGTCATGGAGAAGATCATCAGGAGGAGAGTGGTGGAGCACCTGGAAAGAAACACGTGTATAATTGACAACCAGCATGGTTTCAGGGAGGGAAAATCCTGTGTCACAAACCTATTAGAGTTTTATGACAAGGTGACAGAAGTAAGACAAGAGAGAGAGGGGTGGATCGACTGCATTTTTTTTGGACTGCAAGAAGGCCTTCGACACAGTTCCTCACAAGAGGTTACTGCAAAAGCTAGAGGATCAGGCACACATAACAGGAAAGGCACTGCAATGGAAAAGAGAATACCTTACAGGGAGGCAACAACGAGTCATGGTACGTGATGAGGTGTCAAAGTGGGCGCCTGTGACAAGCGGGGTTCCACAGGGGTCAGTCCTAGGACCTGTGCTGTTCTTGGTATATGTGAATGACATAACGGAAGGGATAGACTCAGAAGTGTCATTGTTTGCGGACGATGTGAAGTTAATGAGAAGAATCAAATCGGATGAGGATCAGGCAAGACTACAAAGAGACCTGGACAGGCTACAAGCCTGGTCCAGCAACTGGCTCCTTGAGTTTAACCCCACCAAATGCAAAGTCATGAAGATTGGGGAAGGGCAAAGAAGACCGCAGACACAATATAGTTTAGATGGCCAAAGTTTGCAAACCTCACTCAAGGAAAAAGATCTGGGGGTGAGTATAACATCGAGCATATCTCCTGAGGCGCACATCAATCAGAGAACTGCTGTAGCATACGGGTGCCTGGCAAACCTACGTATCATGTGGGAGTTCGAACACGTGGATAGGGTAAAGTAATACTCACGTAGGCTGGTAGTACGTATAATTACGGATAATGTGGGGAGCGCCCAAACAGCCTGCCTGCCACCTTGCTCACTCTTGTATAACTGACTGGCCGCCCACAGTACCCATATGTGAGGGGGTCTTTGAATACTGCTGTGGTCAGCACAATATGAATACAGACAGTGACTCAGGCAGAGACGGTTGGTAGTGAGTCATCTACTGGTACACTGGTTACTGGTTACTACTACTGAGATACGGATAGCGTTCCGATACCTCAGTAAGGATTCGTTCAAGACTCTGTATACCATTTACGTCAGGCCCATACTGGAGTATGCAGCACCAGTTTGGAATCCACACCTAGTCAAGCACGTCAAGAAATTAGAGAAAGTGCAAAGGTTTGCAACAAGACTAGTCCCAGAGCTACGGGGATTGTCCTACAAAGAAAGGTTGAGGGAAATCGGCCTGATGACGCTGGAGGCCAGGAGGGTCAGGGGAGACATGATAACGACATATAAAATACTGCATGGAATAGACGAGGTGGACAAAGACGGGATGTTCCAGAGATGGGACACAGACACAAGAGGTCACAATTGGAAGTTGAAGACTCAGATGAATCAAAGGGATGTTAGGAAGTATTTCTTCAGTCATAGAGTAGTCAGGCCATGGAATAGCCTAGAAAGTGAAGTAGTGGAGGCGGGAACCATACATAGTTTTAAGCGAGGTATGATAAAGCTCATGGAGCAGGGAGAGAGAGGACCTAGTAGCAATCAGTGAAGAGGCGGGGCCAGGAGCTATGACTCGACATGAGGTATCAAGGATTTTTGTCTCATTATGCCTATGAGTACTGTAGCAGTTATCCAGGTAGTTTCAGTCTAATGATTTGAAGACCTTTATTATGTGCTGGATGTGAGTGTTCGATTTCAAGAACTTTCCCTCGTTTTGTCTTACGTGATAACTGTTAATCATTATATTTAGTTGAGCATTGCATGCAGGTCTTGTCAATATTGGGAGTGAGTTTATTGAGTCGTCCCGGTAGATATCTTTATAAGCTCCTCATTTACGGTGTTATTAGGAGAATTCGGATTTGAATGATATGACAAGTTGTCATCTGCAACCTGCATTGGGAAGGTCGTTGATATATACGAGGAAAAACAACGGGGCCAAGAGTACGGGCACTAAATTCACATAAAGTGAAAACTGTCATCTGAGATTTATAAATACCTCTGTAACTTATGATTGTGATCAGATCTACCTGGAGTTCATTACCTTTGTAATTTGCTCAGCTATCAAAACTTTGAGGCCCAGACCCTGGACCCATTATGTAACTCTACTGTTTTGTCTACCGTTCAAAGGATGGGTATTGGGTGCTTAATAAACAAATTAAACTAAATTAAGACTTACATTAACTTGTGTGATGGTATAGCTGAGAGCGTCCAGATCTTTTTGGGTCATCTCGTCGCTGGAGACAGAGATCACAAGCTGACGTGGACCCCTTAGTGTAGCCTGGTCAGAACACGTCGACTCCCCGAAGCGTTCTTGTATGAATGTCAAGTGCCGCTCTACCTCAGAGCCAGTGATACCCGTGCACCTGCGGGTGGGAGGGCGGCGCTTAATGGGCGTAGTAAGGGCGGAGGATAGTGACTGTAACCGGTGCAGATGTACGTAGATGACCGGAATAGATGTACGTACATGGTCACTGACTGGAACAGGTACAAGGAGGGAAGGGGGACAATGAGTGTGTCAAATGGCTGAATAGTTTAACAGAGACTGTCTAATGACACAATCTCAATTAGGGTAGCCATTGACGAAGTTTATGTCCAATGTTTCAATAAGTGTCAAGGGACGGGTCCAGAATTTCTACAATGGGGGAGCGGAGTTGTGGCTATCTGGCTGGCAAGTATGGAGGGAATTAGGAGACTTGTAGGTGGGATGACAATCCGTCCTCCTAAGTCAAGCGTCGATTTCTCACAGATGATTTCTCTTTAAGGAAGGTGTCTTCACGCTGATAAAGGGCTCTTGATTCAAAGAACTGGAGCTACCCTCCCTTTCACTGGATCAAATCTAATTGCTTTCAAATCCCCATGGCGATGTATGACCCCTACTAATTTAGCGTTCCCCATGAATTCAATAAATAATGCTTCACATAAGATTTTAAAAAATTTCTCGATATAAGTTATTTAGATTCGGTTGGTTTAGAATATTGTGTATAGGCAAAATTTAGCCAGTTATACCGTAATGCCAGTCAATGCAGACACGTTTAAAGTGTGAAGAGGATACAGAAACCAATCAAGCGGACGTGAAAATCAAGTTAAATAATCAGGTTTTCATTCCCGTGTCAGTCACATTTGAAGTTCTTGCTGTATACAGTGATTTACTGACGTTGATTAGGAGGGAAACTTGAAGCGGTGTTATTAGATGAAGCGCTGGAACAGACGACTTACGAACGTTAAAGTTGTAGACCTGATCACTGGATGTAGATGTTGTGGAAAATATTTTAATTTTCCGAAGCTATAGTGCCTAATAGGTGTTTAATGTGTCGATACGAGTCAAAAATGTATTTGACAATAGGATAGAACCAAGAGTTCCCTTTGCGCATGCGCGGACGTGCGGGGGTAGAGGTCGACTCGGGGCATGGGTGAGGTGGGAGTGTTTTGAATGTAGTGAGGAGGCTGGGAAAGCATGGAACCAGGAAATTGGCGTTCACGGCGGCCTAAGGATTAATATAGGCCTCATTTCATAATAGGAAGTGTCGTGACTGTCCCTGGTGAAGAGTGAGGGAACGTGACTGACGGCACCGCTGTAAATAAGGTGGTAAAATGAGTGAATAATGGTAGGACCGGGGGTGACTGGTGCGTCGCCATGGACTGTGTCCCGGGGAAAATTACCCGTGATTTAATCATCACTCATCGGTCTCAAATCTTAATGGAGTGGCCTCCAATGTGTATAATAATTATGAGACGTTAAACCGTCTTGTAAATCGTAATGTAATCAGTGATAATAACACTAAGTTAAGGAATCGTTGAAGCGATATGAACTGCCATTCCAGAGTGTGTGTGCACATGTTTACCTCGTGTTCCTGTCCCGAGGATAGTGAAGGCTTTATGGAGTCACAACTTCTAAACCGGGACAAACCGACGGATACCTCGTTCTGCTGGAATAAGAACCGCGTCGGTGTAGCAGGACATCGAAATGAGATGGTGAATGGAGGAAATAAGGAGTATCATTCACCCACAGTTAAGTAACCCTTCTAGTTATAGCAGACTGATACTGGCCAGTTAGGTATGTTTGTAATTGGATAGGTTATGAGTGATCCAGCTACATCAAGTGACCACCAGAGAATATCTGGTAAGTGGAGAGATTATGTACAAGTGTTTTTCCTTGATGGATATATCCATGTGTAACCTACCCCCCCCCCCTTCATTCAGTTACACTAATATAATCTATACAGTCCACAATTAATTAGTAGCACCGTACTTGTGGGTGCTATCCAATCCATACTGGTCTCGGATAGATATGGATAAGATTGTGAGGTCGAAGGGACCACCTGCCGTGACCAGGGGTGGTTAAGTTTTCTCACATGTCTACACGGGGTGACTACGGTAAACAATATGGTTGTCTTCCAATGAGATTACTTGTATGTATATAATGTTGAGGTACATACAGGTAATCACCCCTAGAAAATTTTCCACAGATGTAATGCATGAGTGTTCGTATGTAGGTGTGGTGGATGAATGTATGCAGGTGTGGTGTATGACTGTATGGTGTATGACTATGTGGGTGTGCATGAGGAATGTCGGCATAATGTTGGTGTGGCGTATGAGTGTATACATACCTCATGCACCACACTAACATACACTCATATAGAGTGTATGTTAGTGTGGTGCAAGAGGTATGTAGGTGTGGTTTATGAGTATGCTGGTGTGGTGCATGAGGTATGTAGGTGTGGTGTATGAGTATGCTGGTGTGGTGCATGAGGTATGTAGGTGTGGTGTATGAATATGCTGGTGTGGTGCATGAGCCTATAGGGATGTGGTAGACGAGTGTATGTAGGAGTGCATTTTGGCATTGTGTAGTCACAATTCTGAGGACAGACGATACCCGCGGGGATTAACCTTGTTATCCCTCTGTGTATGTTTTCCAACGCATCTTTAAACATTCTATATTACGAGACAAGAACTGAGCCGCATAATCTAAATAAGGCTTTTCCAAGAATATAGTTCTTGATATGAAGCTAAGCATTATATTAACCTTACTGGGAAAACTCTGGTACTGCTGCCTTGGCTTAGTATTCAGAGTAATTAGGAGTTCCAAGTTCTTTCAGCAACTGCGCTGGTTATCTTTTTACATTATTTAGTTTATAGTTATCGAAGTTATTTTCTTTGCACAGGTAGTAAGTGTACAGGCATGAGCGTCTGTTCACACCTATACGCTAGTGTTGATGTTGCATACGTACGTGTCGTGAAGGACGAGCACTCTCCTAGTGCAATTGCAGGTGGGGTGGTGCAGATGAAGGGGTCGCCATGACGTGCAACCGTCCACGTCCAAGACATCAGGGGGACACCGCCTACGCCTGACGGACAAATGCAGGCTAGAAAAGCTTATAGATCTGTTTTGGATAATACATTAAAATAATTTAATCATTAACTGAGGATGTGTATATTTTGATGGTCAAATAAACACTGTTCACGAATAAACAAGTGGCTCGAGTGGTAGCGCTCTTCAATCACAACTGAGACACCTGGGGGACGATCCCTGCAAGAATGGAAATGTCTAGCATTTTTCCTCATACCCAGTGCCCCTGCACATATATGAAATAGTTACCCGAGTATTAGCTGCTACTTGTTGGTTATATCACAAGGAAGGTGAGGAATTAAGATACATGCAACACCTGGGTATCTTCATTTGAAGACGTTTCGCAGACTAACTGCAGATAAATTCAACACATATAATTGGAGGTGGTGAAACTGGAGACAGTAGAAGATGAGGTAATCAGTCCCTCATCCTTAGAAATATACACAAGAGACAATGGAAGATGAGATAATCAGTCCCTCAGCCTAGAAGCCGATGTTCACTATCATAGTGCTTATGAATTTGAAATATGGGCAGGAAGATGCGACTTTTATACTCGAGTCGGATGGGGTGCAGCAACTGAAGCCGAATCACAGGTGGGTGCGACCCACTAGTGGAAGTTGTGTCCAGAGGTCAGCAAACAGGTTGTAGGGGGATATCCTCTGTATCAAGATTCCATGGCGTTGCTGTGTCAAACAAGTATCATTACAATATTGGTATATACTACCGACAAGAATCTTGGTACATATGATATCCCCAACATCCTATATGCTACTTTATGGCCCAACTCTTGGGCACGACCTACTTCCACTAGTGGGTCCCACCCACATGCAATTTGACTTCAACTGCTGCACCTCATCCGACTCCAGTGTATAAGTCAGTTCTTCCTGCATATACTTCTGAGTCATCAACAGTAAGACAATGAACACCGGTTTCCAGGCTGAGGGACTGATTACCTCATCTTCCACTGTCTTCTGTGTATAGTTCTGCAAAACTGAGGGACTGATTACCTCATCTTCCACTGTCTTTTGTCCCGTAGCTCGAATGCTAGCGAACTGGTGTGGGTCGCATCCTGGGACAACACTGACATAATTTGCCTGAAATGTTCTGCATAACAATGGGCTTTCTATATACTAGTATGTCATTGATGTCAGTAAGGATCATGAACTGATTATGTCATCTTCCAGTGTTCTGTATCTAGTTTTGCAAGGCTCAGGGACTGATTACATAATCTTCTACTGTCTCTGGTTTTAGCACCTTCATTTTATGTGTCATAAAGATGCCTAGGTGTTGAACATGTGTCCTATTCCTCATCCCTAATCATACGGATGTTCACTGCATAAACAAAAGTTTATGATTGATGGCTCTATACATTTGGAAAACCAATGTTGTGGTATGACTAAAACGTTGCTTTTTCAACAATTTTTAATTGCCCTATATAAAAAAGCTCATTTAGGAAGATGCGTTGCAGTTACTCATGGCCTTATTGATGCTTAACTTTTGTTGTTTAACCCTTCATAGTTGGCTTACCTGACGGCGTGTTGGTCGGAGAGAAAGTAGTAGAGCGTGTCTTTGAGGATCAGGCAAGTAAGACACAACACACACAGGATACACCACACACCACCTCGCCACCGTCTGCCACACCAGCTGCTCCGCCTGAAATGTTGTTCAGTCAGTTATGGAACATTTCAGAGGATAGACTCATAATATCGATATTACCCTAGAGTTAACCGACTATCGCTAGACTTAGCCAAGGGTTAACGTACTATCAATAAACTTATCTAAGTGAGCCTAACAGCATTTTAAGCTTAAACAAAAATTAGCCTGCAAACACACTAAGATTACCCAAGAGCTGTTCTAAATTAATTGTATTTTCTTAAGCACCGTAGAAACTCTTGAAAAAAAGAATAAGCTAAGTGCTCGGTAACCAAATATCAGTTATTAGAACGTTGAGCTCCAATCTGGGTATGATAAGTCGAGCTGAAAACACTAGACAGAATGTGACCTCTCTGTCAATTCAGTATTTGCGTAAATTTTTGTGCATTCTGACTTTAGCATTAGCAGGGTCACTTTGTTGAATTAATTTGACCAAATATTGCAAAACAGAATTAGGAATGAATATACTGACTAAAGGTTTACTTTCTGTAGTCAATCGAAGGGAGTTTGACGCTAAAACTTACCTCATACTTGGAGTTGCAAGTCTGGTGTGTGTTTACATCAACGGTGAGGGAGAAAACTGCATGAAAGTGACATTGTTCTCCAATTCTGGTTAAAACACTTGATAAAAAGTATTCAAGATGTCTTGGCCAAGTTGCTGACTCGTAGAAGCTGAATGATTAAAGCTGTACACTGAACAAGAATAGGGGATCTCTTCACCACCCTGGGGTTTCTGATTTAATACGAAGAACTAACTTCGTCTATGCTAAACCGCAGATGACAGATTGATGGAAAGTGCTTCGTGTGCAACCTTAACCCTTAACTTCATAATCATGCTGTCTGTACCTTCAACGTAGCTTTAATCTTATGGGTCATATACCGTCAGTGTAAATACTGTCATTTCCATCTCTTAAAAAAACTTCGGGCTAAATATAATGCAGTTTCAGACAAATCGACACCAGTGTTGTTGAGTGCATTGTACAGAGATGGATCAATAGTGTATGATAGCGTGATATTCTACAGCATACGTTGAGTAAATACGTCACAAACGAACAAGTAGAGCAGCTATATAGTGTTTTATGAGTAGCAACTACTCAGCAGAGAGAGCAAACCACGACAGGTTATTATATGTGCGACTCCGTAGTGGAGAACTAAGTGTTTGATGACAGTGCTCAGTGTGTCTGTTCCAAGGGCAGCCTGGTCGCAGGGCCAAGAATTTTGTTGGCAGGACCCTTAGCTAACGAGGAAGGTCCTCTGTAGATGGTGGCTTGACTCATGTGTTCGGTCACAGGGCCCTTGTTGAGGTTACTAGGACCCCTGTTTATTCCCGAGGGTCCAGTCCGTCTATCAGAAGGGCCAAGGTTTATTTCTGCTGGGCCTTTGCTAAGGTAACTTGGGCCCTTAGTTAATTCACCGGGACCCTTATTTATATTACTTGGGCCCTTATTTAACCAAGCTGGACCCTTATTTAGGTTTCCAGGACCTTTATGTTGCCCGGCAGGACCATGCTGGAGTAGTGATGGTCCCACATTCAGCCCAGATGGCCCTTTGCTGAGCCCTAAGGATTTACGACGTACTTGCGGATAGACCTGCTTAGCTCTATGGTCTTCTGTGGCAACACTGCTCAAGCTGAAGGATCGAACCCTGTCTACACACTCTTCAACTTTCTTGGTCTCTGTCTGGATACTCTCTACTCTCTCCTCTAGACTTTCTTCGCTGCGGTCTAGTTGCGTGTCAGATGGCGCCCTATCTGATACAACGGTCGCTGTATCATCAGTTATTTCGTCTTCTTCTTCTTCAGTTTCTGCTTCCTCTGTGGGACTCAATACATTCTGAAGGAGTTTGTTTATGTTACTAAACGAATCGTCATTGTTGCCTTCCTCCGATGATTCACTTCGTTTTCTGACTCGTTGCTGTGTTGGCTGCTGTTCCTGTTCGAGTTCTTTTTGCTTTTGCTGCTCTTCCAGTTGTTGCTGCTCTTTAAGTTGTTGATTGAACTGATGCTGTTCCTGTTGTAATTGCTGCTGCTGTTGCTGCAGTAAAGTAAACTGCTGTTGGATTTGATATAATTGTTCTTTTATAGATTGATGTTGCTGTAACTGATGGTACTGTAATTGCTGTTGCTGCACTCTATGCTGCTGCAACAAATGTTGTTGTACTTGCTGCTGCTGATAAACTAGGTAACCATACCGTTGTTTATTTGTTTGTATGTTAATGAACTTCTGTTGCTGCTTAAGTAGATCTCTGTACTGTATTTGCTGTTGTCTTTGTAAACTCTCAAACTGATGTTTTTGTTGGCGAGAGAGTATCTGCTGCTGTTGCTGCAATTCTTGTTGCTGTTGTAGTAATTGATGATGCTGATTTTGCAAATGCTCTTGTCTCTGTTGAAATTGGTGCTGCTGTTTCTTCTGCTGGTGATGCAATCGCTGCTGCTCCTGACGCCAAGAAGGTCGTGCCGCTGTTGGTTTTAGGTTGCACTCCTCAGCTTCCGAGGCGCCTTGCAAATACAACACCACATCACCCAGGTCAGCCTTGGCTGGAGAACCTGTCGAGGCGCCAGTGGTGGTGGTGGTGGTGGTTTCCTTCAAGAGTTTTTGCCTGTTCTTTGCTTTAATTGTATTAAAGAACACACTTCCCTTCGGATCCTTCGAGCGAGGCTCTGGTGAAAGCGAGCGAGAAGTCCCTTGAGAACGGGGTGAGAGTGAGTAAGAAGTCGAAAGAGGTCGAGGAGAGAGAGAGCGAGATGCCGCTTGAGATCGGGGCTGGAGGGAGTGGGTCACTGTAGATTGAGTAGGGACGTGACCCCTCGCCTGGGTCCTCTGTGGTACCCAGGGGTCTTCAGGTTTCACTGAAGACTTCCTGGCCTGTCGGGAATGGCGCTGATGCCTTTGGGCTAGTGGGTCCTGACCCCCACTCATCAATACGCTTACTCTATGTTTCGCTCGCCTTCCTGCAAGGAAAAGTGAAAAGATGGGATTGTGTATGACCCTACGATTATTCAGGCCTCACATCTGTATAAGTTATATCGTACACACAAATCTATATAAAATCTTCAGCACGTGTATATATTAAACAAGTTATAAGCCGACCAGTTTTGAAATACAAGTCAAAGGCGAACTGATTATTGCAAAGATTTACGAATGTAATTTTTAAAAAATATAACTACAAATATAACTTCAGAGTAAAGGCATACTTAAGTGTAACTATTATGCTGGTACCTGTCTGGCTTTCAACCAGCAATAAGTAATAATTAACAGAGAAATACATATGCAGTTAAACAGGATACTGACTAAATATTGTTCCCAATATAATGATAGTCATAAGTTGAACAAAATTTGCTTCACAACAGCATACACCGTATAAGAGCAGTCACAAAAAGATAAATTTCCGGCGTTTTCAAATAGCAATTCAAAAAAATTCATTCCATGCAACGCGCGTGTGCCAGTGATTACTTATCTGTAACTACAGGAAATTATTATTATTATTATTAATGTGGGAGAAGTTCGTGAGGCAGTAGGTAAAATGAAAGGGGGTAAGGCAGCCGGGATTGATGGGATAAAGATAGAAATTTTAAAAGCATGGAAGAGGGTAAGGTACCTAGGGATTGGCAGAGAGCATGCATAGTTCCTTTGTATAAAGGCAAAGGGGACAAAAGAGAGTGCAAAAAATTATAGGGGGATAAATCTGTTGAGTATACCTGGTAAAGTGTATGGTAGAGTTATTATTGAAAGAATTAAGAGTAAGACGGAGAGTAGGATAGCAGATGAACAAGGAGGCTTTAGGAAAGGTAGGGGATGTGTGGACCAGGTGTTTACAGTGAAACATATAAGTGAACAGTATTTAGATAAGGCTAAAGAGGTCTTTGTGGCATTTATGGATTTGGAAAAGACGTATGACATGGTGGATAGGGGGGCAATGTGGCAGATGTTGCAGGTGTATGGTGTAGGAGGTAGGTTACTGAAAGCAGTGAAGAGTTTTTACGAGGATAGTGAGGCTCAAGTTAGAGTATGTAGGAAAGAGGGAAATTATTTCCCAGTAAAAGTAGGCCTTAGACAAGGATGTGTGATGTCACCGTGGTTGTTTAATATATTTATAGATGGGGTTGTAAGAGAAGTAAATGCGAGGGTCTTGGCAAGAGGCGTGGAGTTAAAAGATAAAGAATCACATATAAAGTGGGAGTTGTCACAGTTGCTCTTTGCTGATGACACTGTGCTCTTGGGAGATTCTGAAGAGAAGCTGCAGAGGTTGGTGGATGAATTTGGTAGGGTGTGCAAAAGAAGAAAATTAAAAGTGAATACAGCAAAGAGTAAGGTAATGAGGATAACAAAAAGATTAGGTGATGAAAGATTGGATATCAGATTGGAGGGAGAGAGTATGGAGGAGGTGAATGTATTCAGATATTTGGGAGTGGACGTGTCAGCGGATGGGTCTATGAAAGATGAGGTGAATCATAGAATTGATGAGGGAAAAGGTGATGGTGCACTTAGGAGTCTGTGGAGACAAAGAACTTTGTCCTTGGAGGCAAAGAGGGAAATGTATGAGAGTATAGTTTTTACCAACGCTCTTATATGGGTGTGAAGCATGGGTGATGAATGTTGCAGCGAGGAGAAGGCTGGAGGCAGTGGAGATGTCATGTCTGAGGGCAATGTGTGGTGTGAATATAATGCAGAGAATTCGTAGTTTGGAAGTTAGGAGGAGGTGCGGGATTACCAAAGCTGTTGTCCAGACGGCTGAGGAAGGGTTGTTGAGGTGGTTCGGACATGTAGAGAGAATGGAGCGAAACAGAGTGACTTCAAGAGTGTATCAGTCTGTAGTGGAAGGAAGGCGGGGTAGGGGTCGGCCTAGGAAAGGTTGGAGGGAGGGGGTAAAGGAGGTTTTGTGTGCGAGGGGCTTGGACTTCCAGCAGGCATGCGTGAGCGTGTTTGATAGGAGTGAATGGAGACAAATGGTTTTTAATACTTGACGTGCTGTTGGAGTGTGAGCAAAGTAACATTTATGAAGGGGTTCAGGGAAACCGGCAGGCCGGACTTGAGTCCTGGAGATGGGAAGTAAAGTGCCTGCACTCTGAAGGAGGGGTGTTAATGTTGCAGTTTAAAAACTGTAGTGTAAAGCACCCTTCTGGCAAGACAGTGATGGAGTGAATGATGGTGAAAGTTTTTCTTTATAGGGCCACCCTGCCTTGGTGGGAATAGGCCAGTGTGATAATAAAAAAAAATAAAAATATTATTTTATTATTATGTTGTTGTGTTGTTATCTTATTGGTGTTATGCTGTTGTTGTTAATGTGGAGTGCAGAGCCCGTGTGGGTTATTCAGTGCAAGGATCGAAGCAGGCTCGAGCCTCCGTACGATAATTGTTACACAACAGCAAATTGTAGATAGACACTACCAGAAGTTATCAACATGTTTGCAGATCTTGGTTAAGAATTAACAAGGTGTTGGGTAGTGGCCAGGGCCAGGGAAGGAGGGGTGATGGCCAGGGCCAGAGAGGGAGGAATGATGGCCAGGGCCAGGGAAGGAGGAGTGATGGCCAGGGTTAGGGAAGGAGGGGTGGTGGCCAGGGTCTAGAAAGGAGAGGTGGTGGACAAGATTAGGGAAGGAGGGGTGGTGGCCAGGGCTGGGGAAGGAGAGGTGGTGACCAAGGATGGGAAGGAGGGATGGTGGCCAGAGCTAGGGAAGGAGGGGTGGTGGCGAGGGCTAGGAAAGGAGTGGTGGCCAGGGCTAGGGAAGGAGAGGTGGTGGCCAGGGCTAGGGAAGGAGGGGTGGTGGCCAGAGCTAGGGAAGGAGGGGTGGTGGCCAGGGTTAGGGAAGGAGGGATGGTGGCCAGAGCTAAGGAAGGAGGGCTGGTGGCCAGGGCTAGGGAAGGAGGGGTGGTGGCCAGAGCTAGGGAAGGAGGGGTGGTGGCCAGGGTTAGGGAAGGAGGGATGGTGGCCAAGCAAGGAAGGAGGGCGGTGGCCAGGGCTAGGGAAGGAGGGTGGTGGCCAGAGCAAGGGAAGGAGAGGTGGTGGCCAGGCTAGGAAGGAGGGGTGGTGGCCAGATCAGGGAAGGAGGGTGGTGGCCAGATCTAGGGAAGGAGAGGTGGTGGCCAGGGCTAGGGAAGGAGGGGTGGTGGCCAGAGCTAGGGAAGGAGGGGTGGTGGCCTGGGTTAGGGAAGGAGGGGTGGTGGCCAGGGCTAGGGAAGGAAGGGTGGTGGCCAGGGCTAGGGAAGGAGAGGTGGTGGCCAGGGCTTGGGAAGGAGGGGTGGTGGCCAGAGCCAGGGAAGGAGAGGTGGTGGCCAGGGCTAGGGAAGGAAGGGTGGTGGCCAGGGCTAGGGAACGAGGGGTGGTGGCCAGAGCTAGGGAAGGAGGGGTGGTGGCCAGGGCTAGGGAAGGAGGGGTGGTGGCCAGGGCTAGGAAGGAGGGGTGGTGGCCAGGGCTAGGGAAGGAGGGTGGTGGCCAGAGCTAGGGAAGGAGGGTGGTGGTCAGAGCTAGGGAAGGAGGGGAGGTGGCCAGGACTAGGGAAGGAGGGTGGTGGCCAGGGCTAGGGAAGGGGGTGGTGGCCAGATCTAGGGAAGGAGGGGTGGTGGCCATAGCTAGGGAAGGAGAGGTGGTGGCCAGGGCTAGGGAAGGAGGGGTGGTGGCCAGATCTAGGGAAGGAGGGGTGGTGGCCAGAGCTAGGGAAGGAGAGGTGGTGGCCAGGGCTAGAGAAGGAGGGGTGGTGGCCAGAGCTAGGGAAGGAGGGGTGGTGGCCAGAGCTAGGGAAGGAGGGGTGGTGGCCAGGGCTAGGGAAGGAAGGGTGGTGCCCAGGGCTAGGGGAGAGGTGGTGGCCAGGGCTTGGGAAGGAGGGGTGGTGGCCAGAGCCAGGGAAGGAGAGGTGGTGGCCAGGGCTAGGGAAGGAAGGGTGGTGCCAGGGCTAGGGAAGGAGGGGTGATGGCCAGAGCTAGGGAAGGAGGTGTGGTGGCCAGGGCTAGGGAAGGAGGGGGGGTGGCCAGGGCTAGGAAGGAGGGGGGGTGGCCAGGGCTAGGGAAGGAGGGGTGGTGGCCAGGGCTAAGGAAGGAGGGGTGGTGGCCAGAGGTAGGGAAGGAGGGGTGGTGGCCAGGGCTAGGGAAGGAGAGGTGGTGGCCAGGGCTAGGGAAGGAGGGGTGGTGGCCAGAGCTAGGGAAGGAGGGGTGATGGCCAGAGCTAGGGAAGGAGAGGTGGTGACAAGGGCTAGGGAAGGAGGGGTGGTGGCCAGAGCTAGGGAAGGAGGGGTGGTGGCCTGGGTTAGGGAAGGAGGGGTGGTGGCCAGGGCTAGGGAAGGAGAGGTGGTGGCCAGGGCTAGGGAAGGAGGGGTGGTCGCCAGGGTTAGGGAAGGAGGGGTGGTGGCCAGAGCTAGGGAAGGAGGGGTGGTGGCCAGGGCTAGGGGAGGAGGGGTGGTGGCCAGGGCTAGGGAAGGAGGGTGGTGGCCAGGGCTAGGAAAGGAGAGGGTGGTGGCCAGGGCTAGGGAAGGAGAGGTGGTGGCCCGGGCTAGGGAAGGAGGGGTGGTGGCCAGAGCTAGGGAAGGAGGGGTGGTGGCCAGGGCTAGGGAAGGAGGGGTGGTGGCCAGGGCTAGGGAAGGGGGTGGTGGCCAGGGCTAGGGAAGGAGGGGTGGTGGCCAGGGCTAGGGAAGGAGGGGTGGTGGCCAGGGCTAGGGAAGGAGGGGTGGTGGCCAGGGCTAGGGAAGGAGGGGTGGTGGCCAGGGCTAGGGAAGGAGGGTGGGTGGCCAGGGTAGGAAGGAGGGGTGGTGGCCAGAGCTAGGGAAGGAGGGGGTGGCGCAGGGCTAGGGAAGGAGGGGTGGTGGTCCAGGGCTAGGGAAGGAGGGGTGGTGGCCAGAGCTAGGGAAGGAGGGGTGGTGGCCAGGAGCTAGGGAAGGAGGGGTGGTGGCCAGGGCTAGGGAAGGAGGGGTGGTGGCCAGGCTAGGGAAGGAGGGGTGGTGGCCAGGGCTAGGAAAGGAGG